TGACATATCTTGTACTGATGGAAATATTGAGTACCATGTACTGAATTACATCGGATGCTAATTTCGCGTTTTATGACCTCCATGGATACTCAAAATTTCAACCATTTGTGGAGGAAGTACCAGAAGCAGTGGACCGATATATCCCATCTACACAGCACATCGCAGATTTTGTGTAGATGGAAATATTGAGATGTGCCAAGTCTGATCTTGTGTGGGGGTGGATCAAATTCGAGAGTTATCATGCGTTCCAGGCAGACAGAAAGACAGACGGACATCGCTAGATCGACTCCAAATGTCCCGGATCCAAAGATACCTAGGGTCTAAAACCGTTATTTCAACTAGGCAAGTTTTGACCGTATCAAATGATTTAAATCCTCTTTAGTCATATGGCTGAGGGTACAGCTAGTCATATGACTGAGGGTATACTGAATACTTTGCATTGGACAAATGGAATTAGGGTAACTGATGGAGGGCAGGATAGATGTGCCAACGTGTTTTATGGAAATAGGAACTTAAAGGTTAAGAAAACTTCTAAAAGTGTACTAAACTTCTAAAATGGTACCAGTTGGTATTATGTCATGAATTCAGCATGAGAATCTAGGTTAGAAAATAAATTTAATATATGAAAGTAATTTTGAAAATGTGAACTAATTGTGCTAAATAGTACTAAAATTGAAACACTTTGGTTTAGGGTGGACGGATGAAACTGGAATTTTGAAATATTGTATTGGGATGCCTTTTAGTGGTAGGTTTGTGAAAAAGGTTTGGAAATGTGTATTACGAGTGCACGAAAAATACTAAATAGTACTATACTTGGTACAATTTTAAATTGGTTGAACAGATAATGCTTCAAATCTTAAATTTGTTATTAGGGTCTGTTCGTGCTGGTCGTGTTTAAACTTGACATATGTAGGTGGTTTTGGGAGTGTATACTATAATTGTACGAAAAGTACTGAATTGTACCATATTTGATATTTAGATTACTGATTGTATCTGTACGAAAGTACTAAATTTGGTATATAGTTAATGAATAGAGCTGGTATCCCGAAATTTGATATTGAGGTTTTTTATTGGTAACTGGCATTGAGATCTAGTAGTGCTTTTGCAAATGCGTACTATAATGGTTTGAAAAGTGCTAAATGGTAATATTTTTTGTCATTGTTGTTGTCTAGAATATAGAGATGTACATAGTTTTGGATATGCGTACTAAATGTTAGTTAATCTGGTATTGAGTTAAGGTATAGAGAGCCGGAGCTGATATTTAATATTAAGGTTGATTCCAAGGGTTTATATATGGTGAAGTTGAAATAGTTTTAGATAGAAACATTGCATATGGCCGTGTTAAACTTCAAAATGAAAGATTTTTTGGTGTTAAAGGTTAACATTTTCCTAGAATTCTTTCCTAAAGGGGAAAAGTACTTCTTTTTTTAACGATTCGAGTAACCGAATATTTCAAACTAGGTTTGTGGTTGATTTTGGTCAGGAACAAATTTTCCATATTAGCCCAGTGCTTCTTGTAAATTATGCTCGTATATTGCAATAAATACGTGGTCAAATTCAGGGGTTCGGAACACCCATTAAAACGTTTTGAAAAATATTTTGGCAAAAAATATATCAATCATGTTCTTCCAATAGAAAATTAATTTCATTTTTTCTCATTATATTAAAACTTTTCACCAAAATTTTCGTTACTAAAATTTACTTTTTATACAAAACTAAAATCTCATCATATCACAAAAAAAAAACTACATGCACTTGAAATATTTAATCTATTAACCCACATAAATTATTAATCCATGGTGTGTTCCAAATTATTTTCAAATCTGACCTGGCAATGGGTCAAGTGCTTTTAAAATCAAACACAATCGTATTATCAAAACAAATTCAAAAATCGTATTTAAGTCAAACAAATCAATTATCTATCGATCAATTGAACCATTACCAACCAGTATTGGAATGAGTGCGTACACACCCAAATCAGATTTACTACGGCAAACATAATTGTCAATTCAATTTTCGGAAAGACTATTTTTTTTTCTTTTTTGAATGCTGTATCATGCGTGTCCAAAACACCTCCAACCAACAAGTCTTTGTAACCTTGAAGGAGTGGGGGAGTTGCTGTGCGATAGTAGCAAGATCAATACCATGGCTTTTGTCTCTGTCCATCAGCGTGAAAAGAATGAAAGAAATAGGCGATTAAAAGAAATCACCAGAAAAAAGTTTTGTGTGTGTCCAAATTTAAAAGGTGTTGCTGTTTCGCGAGAAGAAAAAATATCGACTCATTATCAGTTCATTTTTATCTGTTGCCTTTAGTTCAATTGTTATTGTTATGTTATATGACATGACATTATGGTCCGAAAAAAGTGTAAAATTGATTTTATTATTTATTGATTGGTAATTAACGAAAAAAATACTTGAATGGGATTTTCGACTTCTTCGAGTACTCACAATTGAAATAAAGCGATGTTGCTGAACATACAAGATAGGAATGATTTGAAATCCTATTATTAAAATCTGGAGTACGAGTAAGCTTTGCAACAGGTGCACTAATATAACCAGGTATAAGACACACATATAAGATGCGAAAATATGGGATCAAAGAAAATATCTCGAAAACACGTTAGGATATGAGATGGGCTATTAAAATAGAAAAAAATGGCTATGTGTAAATGAACATGGTATTTCAAAAAAAAAAAAAACTAAGTGAGAATCAATGCTCAGACAAAAGTGCTGAAATGGGATCAAAGAAAATGTCCCGAAAACACGTTAGGATATGAGATGAGCAATTAAAATCAAAAAAAAAAAAAAAAAAATGGCTATGTATCAAAGGGTTTTTGGAAATTCTAACTTTAAGGTTGCGAAAGATCTAAAGTGGTACTTTTTGATATTTTCGGAATCTTCTCGCTTTACTTATGAATTATAATAAATTCAAATTTTGATCATTTATGATATGGGTTTACATTTTCGTATAACTGTACCGGAACATTTAAGGTGTTTTGGGCGTAGCAGTCGCAATTTTAAACCCAATTTGCTGTAAATTCTCAATCTATTTTTTAGTGCCAACCTTTCTTTCCAAAATACTACAGCCACAATCCAGCGGATTGGTATCCAGAGATTTTGGTTTCCATTGTGCGATGGAAATAAAGCGAGGAAACTTAATTTGTAACCATTCTTGGGTGGCGCGTGCTGAGTGCGATGGCGCGTGCTTGGTCCTGTTGGAATGCCCAAGGTCTGCGGCCAAAATGTTTGCGTACCCAAGGCTTTAATATAACCTCAAGAATTTATTCTGATGCAACGGTCGATTTATAGGATCTGTTATGGCGACCCACACCATCACCATGGTCGGCGCTTGAGTTCTGGTGGCCAACCGAAGGTGCACATTTTCAGCTGACCTCTTAGGCAAGTAAACACGATAATTTTGTTTGTTTACAAACTGCTGGACGTTTTCAAGTCGGAGAAAACCAAATTCGGCACATCGCCACTTTTGGCCAAGCGTAGCAACTCTTTAGCTCTTTTGAGTCTACTTTCTTTCTATTGCGGTGTAAGTTCTTGCACTTTTTTTTAATTTCAATGGCTTTACGCCGAGCTCATTTTTCAATATTTGCCAAATGGAATATTGCAATATGTTCAGCTTACGAGCCATTTTTCGGCCACTGCGACGCGGGTTTCGATCAAGTCGCTTCATAACTTTTCGACCCATTTCTGCTGATGTTGCTGTTTTCTTCCGTCCACTTCCTTGACGGCGGGCTACACCTCGCTACCAGTATCACGGTAACGAGCGATGGTACGAGACAAAAAAGATTTATTGACATTTAAATGCTGGAGTACTCTAACGATAGCCACTTGTGATTTTCCAGCTAAATATAAAGAAATCACACAATCACGCTTGAATTCCGTCACGAATAACCCTTTTTCTGGAAAATTCTCACCAAACTCCTTTTGTACGCTTGTAAGCAATATAATAAGCTTTCACTGGAATAATTTTAATAGCTGTCGGACAAGTGGTTTAGAAATTACGGCAGTCTGAAGTTATTTGCAGTTTTTTCATCTCACCCTGTATATCACATTGTAATAACATTTCGGTAAATTTGAGGACGAAATTTGTCCTTTCGTCTGACAAATACTAACTATGACTCTAAAAGGCGGAATTTGTCCCATATGTAAACGTTTTATAAAAGGTAAAACGAATTCGAAGTGGGTCAATAATGTTCCACCCTTACTGATACGTATCCTACATAATCCAAGGGAAGGGAGCACCCAATCTACTTGAAATATTCATAAAATAAAATAGTTCCACTTGTGCAATAACGTGTGGCAAAAAATATATAATTAAGCTATCGCCCCGATTTTTTAATAGGCAGGTCTTTATTTTGTAAAAAAAACACATTACTGTACCGATCGAGTTTCCATAGCCGATTTAACTGTAATTTTAAAGTTCTGTTTAGATCAACGCATAGATATAGGTCACACGGGATCTCGACAGGAGTACCCAACTCGAACCTTAGTTAACATACTCGTATATTGGTTCTGTTTTAATTCTAAATATTGTCCGATTGGTGATATTCTTCTTGAACCTTCTTCATATACGGTTCAAAATGTCTAGATTTGTTATAGTTAGTTAACATCAATCAAAATCTATCGTGAATACCAAATAACGATACAGTTAGAGCTATATTTTATTAATCTTATTACGTTTCTGATAGAGGGCATTAGAAATTCAGGATATTAAAAGTAAAGCCAGGCAAAAATTAACACCACTTTAAATTATCGTACCTAAAAACACTTGGTTGATATTGTGAAATGCTAAAATCGACCCAAATATTTGCGATATATGATCCTAAATCCGAGAAAGATCATTGCAATTCGTATATAAATTATTATAATGTCATAAAAAATTAATAAAATATTTTCTTATTATTCATTTTAAATATTTATTATTTTTTAAAATAAACAAAATTTCAACAATTAACAAGATATTACATCACTATAGGTAACCGAAGTTAGAAGCCCCAATGAGTACCGAAACCATCGAAGCTCATGTGAGAGACAGCTTCAGCTGGAGAATAGTGGACCGTTTGGCTGGTACCATAGCTGCTTACACCGGGAGCATTGTGAGTGTAGGTGGTGGCAGATGGGCCATGATTGTAGGATGTGGTAGAAACAGCGGGAGCAGCATAAGTTACAGTTTTAGCTACAGCAGGAGCGGCATGGGCATAGACGGCAGGAGCTTCGTGATGGTAAACGGCTGGGGCAGCATGGGCATATACAGCTGGAGCGGCTTGGGAGTAAACAGTTTTGGTAACAGCGGGAGTGGCATGGGTATATACAGCTGGAGCGGGCTGAGAGTACACGGTCTTGGCAACAACGGGAGCGCTATGAGCATAGACAGCTGGAGCAGCGTGAGCATAGACAGCAGGAGCTTCATGAGAATAAACAGTTTTTGTAACAGCAGGAGCAGCATATGATACGGTCTTAGCAACAGCAGGTGTGTAGACATTATTATTGATGCGGGTATCCACTTTGTTAACGCTGGAGTAGGGGGTATTCACCGACTTGGAATAATGAGAAACGGTACCGGCAAAAGAGCGCACAACATTTTCATTTGTCGAAGCCACAGCATCCACAGAAGGATTAACAACTTTGGTAACCAGGGGAGCATAACCAGCATTGGCCATAGCCAAGAGGGTACAGAAAGCTACGAATTTGAAAGCCATTTTTTTTTTAATCCACAAAGCGAAGTCGTTCGGATGTTGGTAATGTTGTTTGTTGTGTAATCGTTGATTGACTGATACAAATGTCTCGCAACTATGTGGTATTTATATGTGGAATTTGTTTTGCATGTTGGTCTGTGCGTTAATTGCACGGCATTGTGAATTTACTAAGCGGTTTATTGAATTCAAAGATTGAGAAGCGTTTTTATCCAGATATAATTTTTTGATATATTTGCTATACATAATATTTGATGGATATAAGAAACACTGCATTGAGTGAGTGTTGAATGGCCTTCACCAAAGAGTTGCCGTGCAATTCTACCATTTTAGAGAAAACCAAAGGCGGTCATCCCTCATGCAGAAGGCAAAAAAGGTTCTCCATCATAAGGAAGACAAAGATGTCATTTATTAGAATAAAAAACCTAGAAGTCTTCTCACATATATAGGAGGAATTCTTCCATACAAAAACACAAAAAAAATCTGTCCTCAAATAATAGACCAAGACCAGGGGATCTACTGTCATACTTCTAACCTATACAAGGCCAAAGTCTAAAAGTGAACAAGAGGTTTTCTATCGTCTACTATTCTATAAAATACGTTTTGGTCTCTTCCATTATATAAAAAACGAAGAGGTTTACGATAGGAGAGGAAAAGGTCTCCCACCCAAAAAAAGGCCATGTGGTCTCCTATCCTACAGAAGACCAAGTGATCTCCTAACCTATAGAAGACCAAGTAGTCTTTTATCCTATAAAAGATCAATTGGCCTCCTATTCTACATAAGACCAAGTGGTCTTTTATCCTATAGAAGCCCAAATGGTCTCCTATCCTATAGAGGATCAAGTGGCCTCCTATCGTATATAAGACCAAGTGGTCTCCTAACCTAAAGAAGCCCAAATGGTCTCCTATCCTATGGAAAGTGGTCTCCGATTCTATAGAAGACCAAGTGGTCTTCTTTTATATACAAGACCAAGTGGTCTCCTATCCTATAGAAGAACAAGTGGTGTCCTATACTATAGAAGAACAAGTGATCTCCTATCCTATTGAAGACCAAGTGGTCTCCTTTCCCATAGAAGACCAAAAGGTCTCCTTTCCTATAGAAGACCAAAAGGTATCCTATCCTATAGAAGGCTAAGTGATTTCCTATAGAAGATCAAGTGTTCTCTTATCCTATAGAAGACCAAGTTGTCTCCTATTCTATAGAAGACCACCACCAAGTGGTCATCTATCCTATAGAAGACCAAGTGGTCATCTATCCTATAGAAGACCAAGTGGTCTTCTATCCTATGGAAGACCAAGTGGTCTTCTATCCTATAGAAGACCAAGTGGTCTTCTATCCTATAGAAGACCAAGTGGTCTTCTATCCTATAGAAGACCAAGTGGTCTTCTATCCTATTGAAGACCAAGTGGTCTCCTATCCTATAGAAGACCAAGTGGTCTCCTATTCTATAGAAGACCAAGTGGTCTCCTATTCTATAGAAGACCAAGTGGTCTCCTATTCTATAGAAGACCAAGTGGTCTCCTATTGTATAGAAGACCAAGTGGTCTCCTATTTATAGAAGACCAAGTGGTCTCCTGTTCTATAGAAGACCAAGTGGTCTCCTATTCCATAGAAGACCAAGTGGTCTCCTACCCTTAAGAAGACCAAGTGGTCTCCTACCCTTAAGAAGACCAACTGGTCTCCTACCCTTAAGAAGACCAACTTGTCTCCTATCCAATAGAAGATCAAGTGGTCTCTTATCCTATAGAAGACCAATAGTCTTCTACCCTATCCTATGAAAGTCCAAGTGGTCTCCTATCCTATAGAAGTCCAAGAGTTTTCTTTTTAACCAACAATCTATTCTATTCAATAAATTTTCTAGAAGACCTATAGTACTTATACCCTTTGGAAAAGCAAGATATTTTCTGTTGCACAGAAGACTAAGATGTTTTTATACCCTCCATTTATTATATTAAGTTTGTCATTCAGTTTGTAACACCTTAAAATATACATTGTAGACCCCACAGAGTATATATATTCTTGATCAGCAAAACATTCTATGTTGATTTATCAATGTCCGTCCGTCTGTCTGTCTGTGGAAATCACTCTAGCTTTCGAACGAAATGAAGCAAGTTGATAAAAATTTTCCCAAATGTGTATTATGTCTGTAGGACTTTTGGTATTGAAAATGGGCTATGCAGGTCCATGTCTTTGTATAGCCCCCATATAACTGCACCCCCGATATTCAGCATATTGATGATTTTAGCGACATTATTTACCGCAATTGTTTCAAGTTTAGTATTTGAAGTTCGTAATGGATACTTCAGCCGCAGACAGAAAATGAGCCATGTAAGTCCACGTCTTCGTATAGCCTCCATATAATGGCACCCCCCGATATTCGGTATTTTATTTATTTTAGCTACATTATAAACAGATTTTTTTTTTTCAAGTTAAGCATTTGAATATTATAATAGCTTTTGACAAAAGTTGCCTATGCAGGTCCACGTCGTCGTATATACATACCCTAATATACGGCTACATACGATATTTTTAAGATTTTAATAGAATTTTTAATGGATTTTATTTTTTTTTTAAATTGCCAATTTTGTACCATGTGGTGGAGGGTATTCAAAGTTCGGCCCGGTCGAACTTATAACTTTTTTACTTGTTTTTTTTTTTTTTTCTAAAGAAGTCCTGGAATTTTTTCAAGCTTACGACAGAGGGACGTTTCGTAATTCAGGCAACGCAAGGGTAATTACACTATGTGCCTATTCAAAGAATTATTCAAATAATTCCCAAAATACTTGTCTTTTTCTGTTTCGATTATAATCTCCCAACACTAACAACCTTAGCAAAATTACACAAACAAAACCTTAATGCGTAAGTTTGCCAAAATATAACACATTTTTGCAATATAAATACCACACCATTTGGTGGAATATGTATCAGTCAATCAACGACGACAAAACAATCAACAATAAATAACAACAATCTGACGAATAATTTTTGTGGATTAAAAATGGCTTTCAAATTCGTAGCTTTCTGTACCCTCTTGGCCATGGCCAATGCTGGTTATGCTCCCCTGGTTACCAAAGTTGTTAATCCTTCAGTGGATGCTGTAGCTTCGACAAATGAAAATGTTGTCCGCTCTTTTGCCGGTACCGTTTCCCATTATTCCAAGTCGGTGAATACCCCCTACTCCAGTGTCAACAAAGTGGATTCCCGCATCAATAATAATGTCTACACACCTGCTGTTGCCAAGACCGTGTCATATGCTGCTCCTGCTGTTACCAAAACGGTTTACTCTCATGAAGCTCCAGCCGTCTATGCCCATGCTGCTCCAGCTGTCTATGCTCATAGCGCTCCCGTAGTTGCCAAGACCGTGTACTCTCAGCCCGCTCCAGCTGTCTATACCCATGCCACTCCCGCTGTTACCAAAACTGTTTACTCCCAAGCCGCTCCAGCTGTATATGCCCATGCTGCCCCAGCCGTTTACCATCATGAAGCTCCTGCCGTCTATGCCCATGCCGCTCCTGCTGTAGCTAAAACTGTAACTTATGCTGCTCCCGCTGTTTCTACCACATCTTACAATCATGGCCCATCTGCCACCACCTACACTCACAATGCTCCCGGTGTAAGCAGCTATGGTACCAGCCAAACTGTCCACTATTCTCCAGCTGAAGCTGTCTCTCACATGAGCTTTGATGGTTTCGGCACTCATTGGGGATTCTAAAGAGGATTTTCGAATTCTATACAAAATGTTGTTGATTGTTTATATTATATTGTTATATTTTATGAAAAATAAACAATTTGTTATTAATCTTGATAAAAGAAAAAAATAATTTGTTTTCCTTTTTCCATGCATAAACTGATGGTAGCTAGTTTTGCCAAATAGTTTATATCCATACATATTGCTCGGGCCCAACTCCTTGTATCCTAATCATGTTTAGAGTAGTAGGTTTTTGTCACAACTCAAACAATCCTTGAAGTCAGAATTAGGTTTTCAAGGTGACTGTTCCAAAAAGTGGACCGATATGATATTTTCCGATATTTTCTGGATGTAATCCAAAGATTTCTATCAAATTTCAAACCTCTATATTGAACAATATGTGTCTTTGGCCAAAGAACCCAGAACTCATTTTGGATTTTGATCTATGAACGAGTACAAAACAAATAAATAGAAAATAAACTATTTTCGGCGTTTTTTTCGGAACATGGATGCAAACTTTGGTGACTTCATGATGGATATTATTGTCTTTGTCGTCGTTCTTCTAAAATGATAATTTTCTTGGAAATTTTACAACACACTCAATTCTAAGGTCTGTTAGGTACTATTGTTAAAATTTACGATAATTAATTTTGTGGAATATTTTGAATTTTTAAAAATTCCGGTTAAAGGATGTTTTTAACCATATTTAAAATAAAGATCAAAAAGACTCCTTTTTTGTCTCGCTCAAGCGTTAACATTTTCGACCCAAATATTCCTTGCATTTTACATGCAATATTGCCGAAGGCACTATATACCTAATATGCGCGGATTTCGAGATATTCTAATTCGAAATTTTTCCAAGTGTGGGAGTGAGGGGAATGTGGAATGCATTGGGATATGTTGACATGTTTTCTGCAAAATATCATCTGGTTTGCAGATGAGGACCCGGAAAGCTACGCCATAGCTTTTGGTTGGTTGCTTTTATATCCTCCGCCATAGTATGGAGGATATATTAAGTTTATCATTCCGTTTGTGACACATTTTGGAACCCACAAAGTATATATATTCTTGATCAGCATAAAACTCTATGTCGATTTAGCGATGTCCGTCCGTCAGTCGGTCTGTGGAAATCACTCTAGCTTCCAAACGAATTGAAGTAGATTGATAAAATTTTACTCACATGTACATTATGTCTTTTGGTATTGAAAGTAGACCATGTAGGTCCAAGTTTTGGTATAGCCCCCATATAACATTACCTCCCTATATTCATTATTTTGATGATTTTAGCGACAATATTCATCAAAAATGTTTCAAATCTGGTATTTAATGTTCGAAATAGATACTACAACCTAAGACAGAAAATTGTCTGTGTAGGTCCATGTCTTCGTATAGCCCACATATAACCGATATTTGATACTTTGTTGATTCTAGCAACATTATTCACCGGAATTCTTTCAAATTTGATATTTTATGTTCGTAATGTATGCTACAGCCTATGCCAGAAAGTTGTCTGTGCAGGCTTATGACAAAAGTTGCGTATGCAGATCCGCATCGTCGTATAGACCTTAATATACGGCTATATTCCTACATACATACATTTTTAGATTTTAGCAGAATTTTTAATGGATTTTAATTTTTTGAAAATTGCCAAATTTGTACCAAATGGTGGAGGGTATTCAAAGTTCGGCCCGGCCGCACTTACAGCTTTTTTACTTGTTTCACCTTAAAACACAATTTGGGTTTATTATATATAGATAGCAATTATCGTCCGATCCTTATGAAAATTCGCATGCAGTTAGAGTTTAGGACAGCGGGTAGAATAGACCACTACTTTTGTGTGAAAAAAATACCAACATTTCCATTCTACCGCAACGCTGAAAATAACGTACAGGTGAAATCCAAAATAGACAAATAGCGAACTTTTGGCTTTTTATGTTGGTTTAGCTGACGAATATAACCAAAAGTCGTAGACGAGCAAATCATATAGATGAGTCTAAATTTGGAGATACATGGGGCGTCTTGTCGTGACCACACAATTGAAACCAAACGACACGGAATTTTGCATGAGAAGGGTGTTAGGGAACAGGGAACAAGTCTAGCATGACCCTGGACAAAAAGCTGAGGGTAATATCTGGGCAGTGCTCTATGACATATTTTCAAAAGCAAAATCTTCCAAAATGAATTTGAACATAAGGGGACTTCTACCATATTATAGTGTTGTAGGGTCGGCCTCGCACGGCTATAGTCGATTAAATTTGTCATTCCGTTTGTTACACCTCGAAATATACATTTTAGACGACACAAAGTAAATATTCTTGATCAGCATAAAATTCTACGTCGATTTAGCAGTGTCCGACCGTCTGTCCATCTGAGGAAATCACTCTAGCTTCCGAACGAAATGATGTAAGTTGATAAAAATTTACTCAAATGTGTATAATGTCTGCAGGACTTTTGGTATTGAAAATGCGCTATGTAGGTCTACATCTTCGTATAGCCCCCATATAACGGTACCTCCCGATATGCGGTATTTTGATGATTTTAACGATATTTTTCACCGGAATTTTTTGAAATTTAGTATTTGATGTTCGCAATGGATACTACAGCCTAAGACAGAAAATTGTTTGTGCAGGTCCACGTCTTCGTATAGACCTCATATAACGGTACCTTCCGATATTCGATACTTTGTTGATTTTAACGATATTATTCACCGAAATTCTTTCAAATTTAATATTTGATGTTCGTAATGGAAACTACAGCCTATGCCAGAAAATTGTCTGAGCAGGTCCACGTCTTCGTATAGCTGATATATAAAGGTACCTCCCGATATTCGGAATTGTTTTTGGTATTAGAAGTTCCCAATGGATACTACAGAAAATTATCTATTGAGGTCTACGTTTTCGTTTAGCCCCCATATAACGGTACCTTCCGATATTCGGTATTTTAATGATTTTAGCGAGATTATATACAGATTTTTTTTTCAAGCTTCGCATTTGATTATTGTAATGGCTTTTGACAAAAATGTCCTATGCAAGGTCCACGTCGTTGTATAGCCCCTAATATAACGACTACATTCGGTATATTTAAGATTTTAACAGAATTTTTAACGGATTTTATTTATTTTTTTTTTTTTTTTAAATTACGAAATTCGTTCCAAATGGTGGAGGGTATTCAAAGTTTGGCCCGGACGAACTTACAGCTTTTTTATTTGTTTCATTTAGAAATCAATGAAATACAGCATTCTTACAGACTTTACAGGTTTTTACTTAATATTGGTAATTGTAAGACAATACCTGGACCCATGTAGTTTCTAAACAGAATCTGTATAACAACAATTCTAATTTGTTTGTAAATTTGAAGTCCTAATTTTCGGTATTTTATAGATTTTGGGTAACTAATTTGAATAAAATTTGAGACTTCCTCATACCGATTGTTTATTGGTTAGTTTTATTCTACATTTCTATTAAAATTTTATTCTCTGCTAAGTATTTTCCAATAAATTTATCACAATTCAAGCGGAAAATTGTTATTGTTTTTGATTTTTTTTGTGAATTTTCCAACAAGAAACCAAACAAATAAATTTGCGCCCTTGAAAGATGACATTGAAAAAGAAATATTCAAAATAGAGAATCAATTTAGTGGTGGCAGTGGAAAAGAATAATGGCTTTCCTTTTAAAACAAAGGAAAAGTGGATTGAGTGAAAATATTTACGATGATTACTTGGACATCTTTCTTAAGGTGGAAATATGTATGTACGTTCATTTATTCATTTCCATTACAAAATATAGCTGACATCCACTACCCTCCCCAAAACACTAGATGTCTGTCTGGTATGGATATTTTCATTTAAGTTTCTGTTTTGCTCACCCAAAACAAAAGAAGAAAAAACAATGATGATGATGAATATTTATTAGAATTTGAAAGGAAAAGTGAAAAACGTGAAGAAAAAGTTTTTTCCAAAAGTTTTCAAACCACTGCCAAAAGTATAAACTGAAATGTATTTTTTGTTGTTGTTGGTTTCCTTATGAAGAGCAAAAACTTATAGAATAACTTAATAAAAAATGTTTTTTTTTTTTGTTCTCCTTCCTCTTCGACTTCCTATCATTGATAATAATAAACAAGTACGGCGGGGTGGTCTTGTTATTGTTTTCACTGAGCTCATATTTTTATTTTGGCAAATTGATATTAATTTCACTCTTGAGCTACATTAAAAGTCATTTAGATTTGTTTTTCGCTTTTTTGTTTTCATTTTTTTGCTGAGTTGTGCCACCGGTACAGAAAAAGAGGCGATGACAAGATATTTATAAAGTTCATTGTGTACTAACAATATGTATGTGGATGAATGACTACGACAGGGGATGGTGGTTGACTGAAAGCCAAAAAACCCTCAAATCAATAAAGGCCTATTTTGTGTTACAACTCAAGAAACCGGTTGACACAATGTCTGCCTGAAAAAAAAACTGGTGGGCTTTATGTCTACATGAAATACAACAATAAAAATCGCAACATATTGACATTATTCGAGAAAATTAGCAATGACCCTGAATTCGCCGTAGTTTTGGCAAATTGTAAATAATCCATCACAATTAAATCAATTTCATATTCGCAAAAAATCACCAGTATCACAAGCTACAAGAATTGTATAAAAACTCCCACGGCAGCCGAATTCATTATCAGTTATCTGCTAACTTCAATTACTTCAACTCCAAAAAGAAGAAATCCCAAATTCAACATGGCATTCAAATTTGTAGCATTCTTTGCCCTCTTGGCTGTGGCCAGTGCTGGTTATGTTGCTCCAGTTACCACTTATGCTGCAGCTCCCGTCGTAACCAAAGTGGTTAATCCTTCAGTGGATGCTGTTGCCTCTACTCAACAGAACGTTGTTCGTTCTTTTGCTGGTACCGTTTCGCATTACTCCAAATCGGTGAATACTCCCTACTCCAGTGTCCACAAGGTAGATACTCGCATCAACAATAATGTCTACACTCCTGCTGTTGCCAAGACCTTGTCCTATGCTGCTGCCCCTGCTGTCCACACCTATGCTGCCGCTCCCGCCGTCCATACTTATGCTGCCGCCCCAGCTGTTCATACATACGCCGCTGCACCAGCTGTCCACACCTATGCTGCCTCCGCTCCTGTCTACTCCCATGCCGTTCCAGCTGTTGCTCCAGTTGTTAAGCACGCCATCACTTATTCTCCCGCCGAAACTGTAGCCCATGTAAACTTTGATGGTTTCGGTGCCCATTGGGGATACTAGAAAACTTGGAACGAGTTAATATTTAAAATAATTGTTGCAAAATAAATGTTACATTGTTGATTCATTGAAAATTACTTTTTTGTTTTTGAAGGACACTTGTATTAATAAATTAAGACTAAAAGTTTAGAGTTTCAAAACATTTTGTAATGTTTTGAAAAAGTAAAGGCAATAAAGATTTCTGGCCCGAACATTTTGTTATCTTTTCCATTTCGTGTTTGAATCACCAATTTCGTCAATCCGTTTTCAATAGCTCAAAACTTTAATCGTAGACCTTATTAAGTATATATTTTTGATCCGCATAAAGTTTAAAGCCAATCTATTGAAATCCAGATAGGACCAACAGTTTTTTTTTTTCTTGTGCGAATATTTTGAGCAATAAGTTAAAAAGTATCCGTCTATTTGCCAACAGATGTATACAGCCAGCCTGTGCTGGTTTATTAAATTATATTTTGAATTACATTAAAATTATTCAAATTTTGACCTCTTATGGAGGATAGTACCTCCTTCACTTTATATGAGATATGTGATAATTTTTCGAAAATGTTGAAAATATGCGTGAGTTGAGAGATATAGCGAACCGAAGTGTTCCATTTCATTTAAAACTGATAAAAATAATTGGATGTGTAAAATTTTAGGAGAATAAGACATCTATGACCCATTTTATGGGAAAGGTGAATACTTTTGTGGCGGAGGCACGAGAAGGAGTGAGCCGATAAATTCCATATTCACATCACATATCGTGTTGAAAGAAATATTTAGATATACCGAGTTGAAAAGAATCGCTGATTTGTTGTGCTAGTTATGGTTGGACCGATATCTATCATCTTCACACCAGATCTTGGGTTGTTAAAAATATTGGGATGTGTAAAATTTAAAGAGAATCGGATGCTCCATTCGCATTTTGTAAAGATATAATTATTAAAAATGTTGACCTATTTTGTGGGAGGTACCAGAAGGAATGGTTCGATATATTCCATCTTTACACCAGATTTTATCAAACCCAATTAATCAAACCCTTACTTCGCATTTTATAAAAGTTATAATTATTAAAAATGTTGACCCTTTCCATTTTCTTACCTGATTTAGCACTGATTTAAATATTGGGATTTGCAAAATGTGAACAAAATTGGATGATCCGTTATTCTTGCATACGGAAAATTTTGACCTTTTGTGGGAGAGGTACCAGTAGGAGTGGACATATAATACCCATCACAGAACTCGATTTAAGTCTAACAATAATATTACGATGTACCAAGTTTGGACCTAAGTTATAGTGCGCACCAGCAAGTCAGAGAGCCAGACTGACGGACACCTCTATATCGACTTCAAATATCCTGAAACGGATTTGGTTCAAAGAAACCTATTATCTAATACCGTTATTTGATGAGACACGTGTTGGCCGTGTCAAAGATATTTATAACCTTTGTAGCCATATGGTTGAGGGTTTTCAAATGGGGTACCCTTATATGTGCGCTTGTACCGAAAGCTTGAACCCACAAAGACAATTTTCGGCTATAGATTTTGTTATCTATTACGAGTTTCAAAGGTCAAATTTGAAACAATTACATTAAAAATCTGGTTAAAATCCTCAAAAACACGAATAGTGAAATGTACCGTTATATTGGGGTTGGTTGGAAAAAGTAGAGCTATGTGAATAATTGTTTCCTATAATGGTTGGTATCTGCTGTGAAGATTATTTTTTTTAAAACGTGGACGAATTTTGACAATTCAATTAAGAAATATGGCTAATCGCCAAAATGACAAATGTAGGTAGGTAGATGGATAAACATGAATCTGTTTAGACTATGTTCTGTCAAACTCTGAATAACAAATTTTAAACGGTTCCCTTGAAAAATATATTTGAAATCATTAGAATACTAAATATAGGGGCAATACAAAGGAATATATAGGGGTTATACCAAAACTTGGACCAAGAATGTTTATGCCCCTTGGGAACCCTAACAACCGTTTGGGAGTGAATCCCTTTGAAATATGAAGCCAACACAACAAAAGGCCTTATATCGGTTAGAATAACCAATCTCAAAAATGCCATGATTTTTTTAATTGAGCCCCTGCTATATTTTAAAAAAATATTTTATTAAAATTCCACGAAGCCATCGGAAAAATATTCTTTTTATAAATCTTTGAAAATTTTTAAATAGTCCTCCCGAAAATATTTATTTTAGGAAATCCATTAACAAAATTATTGAAAATCCAGAAACAAATATTTTTTATGGTCCAGGACCTAAGAAGCATTGAATTTTTCTATGCCACAAGCTATGGTGGTCCTTGCAAAAATATTTCATAAAAATCCATGAGCTGGTGGCCTTATAATAAACCTAAAATGTTAACAAATTCTTATGATTACGAGCCGTACTCGGAAATGATATTAATTAATAATGCCCAAAAAACTATTCTTTAAAATCCAGTTCTTGTGATCCTTAAAAAAAACTTTTTAAGAAATCCACTAACTCTAGTGACCCTTGAAAAACTTGGCCCATTATAAGTTTAAAAAACTTCACTTATTTCAAAAATAATTCTCTTCATATCTAGGGTTTAGAAGAAAGCACCTGAAAAATAGCCTTAGCCTTTATGGGGCTACTGCTATTAAATATTTGAAGCCATGGGTAAAATTGCACATGATCAGCTATTTAGCTTTGATAAAAGCTATTTAGCTCGTTGTTGACATGTTAGCTATTTTTGATTAGGCCTAGCCGTCAAGTAAGCAACAAATTCGGCACACCCAAAAAGCAATAGCTCTGTTTTCGACTGCTGCTATTATATGAATCATATCCTTTTTATACCCTACAACACTATGTGTTGGGGGTATTATAAGTTTGATTGGGCCAAAAATTATGTAACACCTCGAAATATTGGTTTCCCACACATTGGTTTCCCCTAGCTATGTATGTCCGTACGTGCGTCTGTCCATGTTAATTTGTAATCCCTCTACAGGTCGCAATTATGGCCCGATCCTCACGAAATTGAAAATGGAGGTGGGCTAGAGCCAGAATAGAAGCCTATTTATTGCTTTTGGAGATGATCGCATAATATTTAGGGGTTGAAATGGACCAAAGACGAAAAATTTTCCGGATTTTTCCGTTGCTCTACAGGTCGCAATTATAGACCAATCGAAGCGAAAAATAGCATGTGGCTAGAGCTTAGGGCTCGGCAGAAGTCTTCCAATTTGGATGGTCATCGGGTAATATTTAGTGGGTAAAATAGACCATAACATTTGTGTTAAATAATCCCGGCGAAATCACAAATAGACGAAAAGGTCAATTCTGACCGTTATGTAGATCCCAATAGTAAATATATCGGACATATATAGCAAAATATATACAATATGTATATTCAAAGGGAGGGGATGTTATACAGAACGCTTATGTCTCAAGAATGTTTGAATCGTTTCTGAAAAATTTTGTCAATTCAGAATGCCCTCTTGGCATAAAAGAATAAATCTAAAAAAATGCATAAAAAAATGCCAATAATGAGATTTTGTAGCATTTTGTGATATACAGATTGCAATTATCGTTCGATCCTCACGGACATGTTCCAATGGTAGGGTTAGGCTCAGAAGGGCTAGGCCTATTGTTTTCAAAGATCTCCGCAATATATTTAGGAGTTGAAATGGACCAACACCAAACCAAAGGACACGAAATCTCACATGAAGTTAGAGTTTAGGACAGCGGACCACTACTTTTGTGTGAAAAAAATATAAGCGAACTTCTGGCTTTTTTTATGCTGATTTCTTTTCAAATCAAATCATATGGATGAGTCTAAATTTAGAGATTGAGAGTGGCCTCTTGCCTTTGGAGATGATTGTAAAATATTTAAGGGTTCAAATGAACCAAACACAGAAAAAATTTCTTGATCACACAATTGAAGCCAATCGACACGCCTGAGAAGAGAGTTAAGGACAAGGAAGAATTCTAGCATTTTGGATGACCATTGGATTATATTTACCTGTAAAATGGACCACAACAAGTAATAGCACGACGGAGTGCGTAAATATTGGGCAAATGTCCCTGGTCAAAATGCTAAGGATAATATCTGGGTAATGCTCTGTTGTGGGGTATCACGTGGTCGGCTCCTCACGAATATAGCCTTTGCTTACTTGTTATGTTTACCTATTTTTTATCAATTTGGATTACTGTGAATTTCAATTTTTGAACTGACGTTTCTGCATGTCAAGTACTTCAGTCACTTTAAAATAAATTGATACTAATCTCGACACGAGCCATAAAATTAGCCTTATTTGCAATGCTTGTTAATTTGATTTGAAGTTTATCGCTTACAACAAAAAACATTTTTTAATGCCTTTCACTTTATCACATTTTCTGTTGTTGCTACTCAATTATTGTGGAGGCTGAATGGATGGAGCGAAGTACGCATATGCCCATAAACGACGGATTCTGACTACTTACTCGGTATTAGGGTCGGGGCAGGGAGATGGATAAAAGCGCTCAAAATATAAAATAGCATTTGTTTATTATTTTTTTATTTTTTTTTATTTTGGTTTTTAAGGTATATTTATTTGTTAACTGAACTTTTTAGACCCCCATCGTTATTTTTGATGTCAAGCATTTCATTTGTAATAGCTGCCTGGTTGTGCGCCTAAAATCAATGTTAGCCATCGATTAAATAAACGTTGGTAAGACGTATGTTTGCTCGATTCATATTCTCGATATGGCTCATAGAGACAATAACACTATCAGCTGAAGAGAGCTGCCCATGGAGTCTCATGGACATAGACAAAAGAATTCAACATTTCCGGTTGCATGGGTTTTTAATAGCGCACAGACAATTTAGGAATTTTTCATGTTGCCCTCTTCAGTTTTTTTTATCTACAACTCAACAGATTGATGAAGTGTAATGGCTATGACGAGGATGATGATGTACTGCTGCTGCCAGATGTTATTGATAAACTGTGAAAGAGGAAATCGAGAAATAAAAAAATCAAATATGAATACAGAACTTCATCGTAACAACATCACATT